CGCACATTTTGATTTACAAATGAGAATTCTTTTTATATCTAACATGTTGTAAAAGTTTATATATTTATTTTTTTTATAAAAAAAATCCAGTTACCGGGGAAGCACAAGTGAAATGGCCAATGGGATGCTAAAATGAGAGGAGCTTGGTCTATATATAACATCATTCATTAAAATAGAATAGAAAACATGGAATTTTAATAGTTTTATATAGAAGAATCACAATTTTATTTTGGCAATGGGGTGTTTTCTTTCTTTTTTAACAATAATGATAATTTTATGAATATCTAGACACAATGAAGACCCAGTTAAAAAAAAATACAATAACAAGTTAGAAGACCAAGACCAAATGTAAGGATTTTCAAGAGAAACCTAACTTAATCCCACTCAGCAGGCAAGTAAAGAGATGAAAGCCCCTCGTGGGCGTTGAATACAGCAAGTTCAGGAGTTCCGAGAATCAATTCCTGCGTTCAGGAGTTTAGAGATGAAATCCTATCCGGACACCTTGCGTGAAGAAGATCAAGTCTTGTCCGAAAATCAGCTGACACCATTGTTTGTTGTCTGGATAAAGAATTCGAGTAAACAAGTGAGACACTGAGTTTTCTTCAATCTACTTCTTTTAGATCTTAGAATATCTCTCAAGCAAAGTGGATGCTTTTTATAATTAAAGTGAGCCTACTCAGTACACAGAGGTTGCATGTAATGATTGCCAACAAGCAACTACATGCAAAAGGATGGCTTAATTTCTCATATGGATGGACTACCTCTTAGATGTTTTCCCTTTTCTATTGGCCAGAATGAGACAACATTGCTTTTCAGTAAGGGTCCAGTTGTTTAATCCTTGTCTAAATATTAGTTATTTTTTTTTAAAATTAAATTTTTAATAATTTTAATATATTAATATCAAAATTAAATATTATATATATACACACACACAAAAAAAAACTTTAAAATATAATTACAGCCACATTCTCAAACACTTTATTAATTAAACATTATTAAATACCTAATTAATTAGGGCTTATTTAGCATTGGCAAGGGTTCGAATCAATCTTGGTCTAGTAGGTTTTTTTATTTATATATATTTTTAAATAAAAATATTTTAAAATATGACCGCAATTATACTCTTAAATATTTTATTAATTAAATATTATTAAATACCATATTAATTAGATTTTATTTAGTCTTGGTGAGGGTCCGAATCAATCTTGATTTATCTATAGTCGTATAGGTTTTTTTTATTTAAGATACAAACAAATAAAATTTAATTATTCAAATTAAACCCAACTAAACTCGTAAAGAAACCCCAAATGAGATCAATATGAGCGGCCACAGGATGCATTTTGGTCGTCTATTCATCGGATTGGAAAATGTATTCCTATAATTTAACAAGCCCACCCCCTTCCGAAAAAAAAATGAAAAAAGACAAAAATGCTTTCCCATAATAAAAAATTTCTGCCATCCAACATTTTCCCTTTTTTTTTTCTTTTGAAAAATTGATGGTCTTCCATCCAACTTCGGAAAAAATACACACTTACTAGCCCTTTTTTTAGTGCTTGCATAAAATATGGATGTATAAATAAGTTGGTCATATATTTAGAAACACAAAAAAAAAAAAAAAAATCATTTTTCACACTAACATCCATCCAAAAAGACTTTTAACTTAAAAAGAAAAATAACATTGAGATACATATATTGTTTGTTTAATTTTCAAACTTTTACTGCCCAAATCTCTTTTTAGCTCATCAAAAACACAAACTCTTTTAACTTAAAAAAATTAATAGCCAATAGGTAGCCTAACCTACCATAAAACATTCTTAAATAAATAAACAAACATAACTAGCTAAATCCTCTAGTGTTAACTATAAAAACAAAAAAGAAAGAAGATATTCTTTGATTGTCTTAACCAATCATATTTCTCAATATTCTATTTCTCTCGTGACAGCGACTTGAAGGATTGTAAGGGATTGTGGTTTATTATTCCTTAATTGCTTTGATTTGTTCTCTTATACTAAGTAAAGAAATCTACTGTCTCTATTTTCTTAACAAATACATAACTATACAAGAATTTAAGGGAATTCTAAATTTTGGTGTTTGGAATCTTATATTTACTATTGTTTTTAGCATTTGGAGCTTTGATGGATTTTTATGAATTATATAAAATTGAATTTTTCAGGGCTTTAATTAATGGAATGTTTAATGATATCAATTAGATATAAAATTATCATGTATTCAATGTATTAGTTTCATTTTGATTTTGATTAAGCTACAAGATTAATTCTTGAACTAATAGTAATGATATTTTAGGTTATTTTTGTTTTGAATTAAGTTTTAAAAATAGATATGCGATGACAAAGAACTATAAAATCCTTTTCTAAGAAACTATATGTAAATCTCTTGAAAAACAATGTATTTATTATAATTACTACTTCAAACATGACAACTCATTCCTCTTGAATTTAAGGAACTCAATAAATGTCCTTTAAAAAGTCAAATAATTTAGCATGATGAAATGAATGTTATTTTTTGGGAAGGTGATCCATGAATATATTCAATGATATGAGATATTTCTATTAACCAAATAACACATGATCTATTAACCAAAAAATATAAATTCATTGTGTTTATCTCAAAATTGATGCATTCCAATCTATGCATTCAAAATATTCTTTTCTAAAAGATGAGAATCACCATCATTGATTTCAAGCTTCTTGGTTTAAAGGATTTTAAAGTTAACTAAAATACTTAGATGTAATGAATGCTATATTTTGGTTGTCTTTTTACCTTTTTGGTAAGCCAACATGAAAGTTAAGATCAAAAGATCGTGTTTAAAGGCTTTGTTAATTGGAGGAAGGTAAATGATGAGATTTTTTGTGTTTTGTTGGGACTGAAAATTCAATACATAGAATTATAGTGAAATGTTGTGAATATTAAATGAATTAATCACTATATATTCACACCTTGATAGATAAACAAGCATCATAAAAAGTTGAGAATAATCTCCTACACTTCATAGATACAATCAATACTATTTAATAGTTAACTTTTTAAGCATGTGTCTTTAGAGGCCACAAAGAAAGTCATGGTTCAAAAAATCAAGATAATTTATTGAATTCTTGAAGCTTTTAGGAAGTCATAATGCTAAACTTGACAGGTTTGTTTTAGAAAATACTCCTTGTCAAAATAATAAATTTATTTCTCGTAGAATTTAAAAGGAGATTTTAAATATCTTTGCTAGTAACGTGCAAAGAGTGATTTATAATAAGATTGAGAGTTCAAAGTCTTATATTATTATTGATGAAGCTTGAGATAAAGAAAAAAAAGAAACAAATGGCAATTACCTTACATTTCATTGACAAAAATGGTTTCATTTAGGAATATTTTTTTTCCATTTTGTGCATATGAAAGATATCATGACATTGACTTTAAAACAAAAAGTGTGCAATGTTAGAATATCTTGTCATGATATTCTTATAGGATATAATCAAGGTCAAGGATATGATAATGCAAGAAATGCTCCAGATGAGCGGAATGGACTCCAAGCTTTGTTTATTAAAGATTTCCCTTTTGTTTATTATGTACATAGTCTAGCTTATAGGTTATAATTAACTTTTATTTCTTCTCTTAGAGAAGTAAAACTTGTGCAACAATTGTTTACAAATTTGATTTATATTATTAATATTGTTTTGTTTAGTTTATTAATCGTCATTGTTCTTTTAAATTATATTATAAAATTAATCAAATTTATTAAATGTAATCGAATCAATAATTTGAGTCTTATAATTTTTTAGTTTCTTTAAAAATATTAACACTATCTAAATATTTTTTTATATTAAAAAAATATATCCTCGCCCATTACAGAACTCATCCACTAATCGAAGTAATATATATGATCATGTGTATTCGAGGAGGTTGTAGCCTAGTAAGAAAAAAGATTTGTTCTCTTTCTTTGTATTTGAGTTTGATTTTTTTTGTGTATATTTATCATTTTTATAGTGTTTTATTTATTTATTGAACTTATAAAATATTTAATAAATTTAAAAATTAGTTGTAATATATATAAGTTGATTTAAATATTTAGATTAAAAAAGATATGATGATGATAGTGTAGAAGGATAAAGTTAAAAAAAAAGAAAAAAGAAATATACGAAATGCAGCAGAAAGAGCACACGTATGCACAGTTAACTTTTTTTTTTTTTTGTTGGTACAAAGAGAGAAAGGTGTGGCGATGAGGAATGGACACAGGGAAGTAACTAAAAGGAGACCAATTCACACTCATAGTCCACTAGGAAATCCATGACCACCGAGCTACAAAACAAAAACACATCCACTTGTGTCCAAACAAGGCTCCTCCCTTCCACCTCAGTCTCAACTCAAAGGCACAGATCCTTCTTCTTTATTTTTTATTTTATGTTTCCCAGTCCCACTTTACTTCTACGGTTTCTGTCTATGCAAGTACACTCCCCTCCTGCCTTTCAGTTTTGCCCGAATAACAATCAAAAGCACTTTTTTTTTCTTTTTCCTTTCATAAATGGACTGTTTGAGGTTTGCTTTTAAACTGGTGAAACCTTGTTATAATTTATAATTGCTTTTGTTAGACTATTTAACCTTCTGATTAAAATATTTTAAAAATAATACAGACTTTGGGAAAAAAATACAAATTACCTCAGAGAAAAAATCATTCACTATCTATCTAGTTTTCACTACAAGTATGAGAAGGATAGAAGTCAATACGTTCAGATTGAAATAAAATTGTAACTGATGAAGGGTTAGAGAGATTACTCTAATCTTTTCTTGGGTTCTTATCCTTTTTACTAAATTTCCATTCCTATCTCTTTTCTTGCATCTATCTTTTCCCTGATCTCTCGTGATAAATAGAGTGTGCATAATGATTATTTTATCTCTTTTTTTTTTGTTATGAAAAAGAAAGTAAAATGTTTACATCTACTTAACTCAGTTATAAAAAAGAAAATAATTTTGATTGAAGAAACGTTACCAATGGAAGAAAAAAAACCCAATGTTTACGGCATTGTCAAAAGCATGGTAGAAAATGACAAATCCGAACAGCAGTCACCATGAAAAGATAGATCCCTTCCTTGTCCTCCAAGCCTTGGTTGCATTTAAACAAGTCAAAAGGGGGTCTCTTTGTTTACCTTGGAAACCAGAATTCTGACGCTTCCGCTATGGGTACCAAAATCTTGACCTCTTCTAGCCATGGCTTTGAGAATGAATGCAAAGAGATTCATGATTCTTGGGGAAGGTTAAACCACTTGGTTCGATCATTGGCTGGCAGGTCCAAGCTTGAAAGGCAACAGATTAGAGAGACTTACAAGGCCATGTATGGAGAAGATATGGTCATTCTTCTCCAAAAGATGCAATCCCAAAACGGATCAAAAGTATGTGCAGCTATATATAGGTGGATGATGGACACACATGAACGTGATGCTATTGTTGCGAGGGAAGCTTTTGGAGAAGGTGATGTTAACTACAAGGTTCTTGTTGAGATTTTTGTCGGGCGAAAATCAAGTCATATTCTTCTCATCAAACAGGCTTATTATGCAAGATTCAGAAGGCATTTGGACCAAGAAATTATCAATCTTGAGCCACCCCATCCTTACCAAAAGGTAATCTTGTTCAATCTTAAAGATTATATCAAATGATAAACAAGCCCCGGATTCAAGAATAGGAATAGCATTTTCTGTACGCGCTTGATATCTGTTGAATATGTTGCTATGGTTTTGAAGATTCTTGTGGCGTTGGCTACATCACACATGGCACACCAGGAGGATGTTAGCCAGCATATTGCAAAATGTGATGCTAGGAGGCTATATGAAGCAGGGGAAGGGAGTTCACAGGGAGCCGTTGAAGAAGCTGTTGTGCTTGAGATTCTGAGTAAAAGGAGCATTCCACAGACGAAATTGACCCTGTCTAGCTATAAACACATTTATGGACATGAGTACACAAAGGTAAAGGGTGAGATTTTTCTTATACTTCATACCATCTTTGGCCAAGAAATTAATTGTCTGCGTTTAACAGTCATATTTTGAGTTTATGTGTTCTTTTATTTGGACTCTGTTTTGCAGTCGCTCAAAAATGCAAAGTACATGGAATTTGAAGATGCTCTTAAAGTAGTCATGAAATGCGTGTCCAATCCACCTACTTATTACGCAAAGGTAAATTTGTTATTCTCTCTAATGTTTTTAATATATAAACATTACTGGTGCAAGATTTTCCTCTACTTTCTCATTTTCTGGACAAGATTTCAATATTACTTGCCAATTGCCATTCTATAGTCCCCCTGAATAAAAACTCACGCTGTTTCAGGTACTGTATACGAGTATTAAAGGGACAACAGCAGACAATGGTGCCTTGGCTCGTGTGATGATAAGCAGAGCTGAGGTAGACTTGCATGAGATACGAAGTATTTTCAAGAGAAAGTATGGGATGGAACTGAAAGATGCAATATGTGACAGAATCCCATCTGGGGATTACAGAGATTTTCTTGCTGCTATAGCCTCGACCACTACTATTATTACAAGCCACAATTCTGTTTCTCTCTAGTGGGTGGAGCTATATGTAACAAGATTCTAAGTTTTAGCTTTTATTGATGTGCAATTACCAGTAGGAACTTATTGTACATTTGATTACTTTATAACGTGAGGAACTAAGGATCCAAAACAGTGTCTTATGTCTTTTTTTTTTTGATTACCAGTAGGAACTTATTTCTTTTTTCTCTCTAGATAAGTAGTGTGGGCACATGTGACATCTATATGGTGTATTAATTTGCTTACTAAATATACCATCATTTTTAGAAAGGTAAAGGGCAACATTAAGCTTCCAAAGGTATTTCCATGGTGGCTCGACTGTTTCTTGCCTTTCTGCTCAGTGCGGTATGCGGTGTGTTTAAAACTATGTTTTGTTCCAATAATAATTTTGAAAGTGCTTGGCTAATCAACACACACCATGATTTTACATGAGTCTTTATAAAAACTCTCTTGAAATCTTAATTAAAAAAAGCTATAATTTATAGTTTTTTTTTAATTTATATTTCTAAATCATAACCATAAAAACTACCCCAAACACATACTTAATTTTGTGGCTATGCAAAAGCATTATAATGTTTTCTATTATTCCTTTAGAACTTATTTTTCTGCTAACTCGTTTAGTAGGTTAAATCTCTGATCACATACCAATACCATAATCTACACCATTAAAGGAGGGTTAAACTCTGTAGAGGAAGGAGAGAGCCTCAGAGAAAGAAACTGCGTCTCATGGACTGAAATTGGTCTCTTCACCTTTCAAGCAATGTTGCTTCTTTAATTTAATGGAAGAAGGCACATGGAAAAGTGATTATAATCTCCACTTACCTTGATTTGTCATCGCTTGATTTACTTTACACTGTCCTGTCTAAAACCATGGTTGTTATCCTGATTTTGTTGCCATCTCTTTATAAAAGTGAAGGACCTCCTGGTGGCCACAGACTTAGCTTACAAGATTTCAGTTATTAGCTTTTAACTCGACTTTAACATCTCAACATGATACTGAATCCTGTTTTTATTGAAGTAGCTGAAGGCTTAAAGGAGATACAGCCAAATGGAATCTGCTGTCATATTGATCATATAAGATTAGTTGAGATTGAGCTAAAATTTGTTTGCTTAAAATATTTCATAAAAGATTAAAGTGAAAGGAAGGAATCTATTGACAATGACTCGGAGTGCAATGGGCTGATGGTGAGTAGTGTGTCACTTGCCATTTTCTCAAGGCTGTTGTAATGCTCTTTTCCCTCATGAAATAGATTTCTCAAGGTAATTATTACCCCAGAAGAATGACTCTAGGTGTCTGATCCATATCCTAAAAGTTAAGATGTGCAACTTTTCTTCTTCTGCATAAATGTCTATGCAACGTATGCATTTCTATTGTAATTCTTGGCTGTCCATATCATACATAGAGAACAACGTAATTTCATGATCATAATAGAGAACATATCATTATCTAAATCGGTCAAGGAGGATTTCAAACATATAGAAAAATCAAGCTGTAATTTTAAACTAAATCGGGACCTAATTGTATTCTATTATACCTAAAACTAGAGAAACAATATGGATTGAAGATCAAATTACATAATTATTAGACAAATCTATATAAAAGTTAAGCCTGGGGGCATAATTAGATTTTTAAAATGCTCATTTGGTTTAATTATGGGCCAAATTAAAAGTTTAATTATGTTTAAAAATTAATTTGGGTCAAATTAAAAGATTTATTAAGTGAAAAGACTTAATTGTACTTTAAATAGGTCAAATTACTTTTAATAGGGACTTAATTGGTGAAATATTAAGTTTGAAAGCCAAATTTAAACTTAATTGAGGAGATTAAAATTTTAGAGGACCAAACATTAAATTTTTACATAATCGATTGGTTGAAATCAGGGATACAATTGCAAGAAAATCAAAGTTTAGGGTTAATTAGAGGCTAAATTGAAGAAATTTACAGCTAAAGATGTTTTTTGAAAAAGACGCCGAACTTTAAGAATCCATTTGATTGAAATCAAATGTGAAATTGAAGAGAATTGAAAGTTTAATGGTTAATTGAGGGTCAATTTGCATAAATCCAAGACCAAGAACCAAAATAAAAAAAGGTGCTAAAATTCAGGGCTAATGTTAAAGTTCGACAAGGGTAAAATTACATAAAATTAAAAGTTCTATGCCAATTAGAGACGCAATTGAAAGAAACTAAAAATTGAAGGACTAAATTGAACTTGGCCAAATCCCTAAATTTAAACCATAACGCTAAAATGGTGCTGTTTTGAAAAAAAAAAAAAGACGATGCATCATCTGGTTACTAATTATCATCTTTTTTTTGCCTGAAAAGACTGTTTGGGTGGTTACTATTCAGATGTATTTAATGCTACTTCTCCATACTAAATCGGACAAACCATACACCATCATAATAACCTGACATTGTACTACACCCTATAGTAGGTGTCGTTGACCAACTACCCTTAAGGTAGCTACAACGCCACCCTAAAGCCAACTCAAGCAACCTTTAATTGTCAACTTTTTCCGTTAATGATTTTATCTTTGAGCCAATGATTGAGATCTTTTTCAGTTGAATTAAAAGCCAAGATTTATCTCCAATAAAGAAAAAATATCCCCTTTCCACCTTTTATAAATAGGGGTGGATTTCAGTTATTGAGCATGAAAAAATTAGGTTGCAAAGTTGACAAAAAAATAACCCCCTAGTTTGTTTTTGCCATTATTGCCTCTCTTCTCTTCCTTCACCGCTTCTTTAGCCACCACCACCTTACACATGTTGTGATAATCAGTGGAAAAACACCCTTGTAACCCTATCACTAGCAATTGACATCTCCACTAGCAGCTCTACCACTAGCCAATCACTACTTCCAAGCTAGGTAGTCTTCTTCTCCCCTTTTCTTCTTCCCCCCTGTCATGGTTATAACCACTTCATGCAAAATTCATTCTGTATGAAGCGGGTAAAATAATGAACATGGTCACTAGGCCAAGCCAATGACCATGTGGGTTTAGGATGGACCCGTTTCAGCCTAGTCTAAATGGTTAGGCCGAGTTTAGCCTAAAAAAACATAAAAAGGAAAGGTTATTAGGTTGTCAGTTGACCCAACTCAACCGAGTTGGACCTGTTTTATCTCAGCCCATATGGTTGCATCGGGTTCAATCACGCACAAAAAAAAAGAAAGGCTATTGGGCAGTCAGTCGACTAACCGAGCTAGGCTGGACCTTTTTCATCTCAGCCGAGATGGTTGGGCTTGATCCAACTTAAGACCAAAAACATAAAAAAAGGATAAGGTCTATTGGGTTGTTAGTTGGCCCAACCCGATTAAGACCTGCTCAGATGGATGGGTCAGGTCCAATCTATTTAATAAATAAATAATAGAATAATCTAATAATATTAAAAAAATATTTTTATAAAAAATAGAAAACATTTCAACAATATTCAAAGATATAATGATGATGGTAAAATGTTTTTAAGTGTAAATTTGTTAATATTCGCTAAGCCTAGATGACCATTGTCGAAGAATACAGTTTTGAGAAGATATTTGACAAATATCGAATAAAACACAAGCACATAATTAAGTACTATTTAAGTATGATGAATTGAGACATTTTATTTAGTTAAGTAATTTTATAATATTATAGTTTTAAATCATTTTCTCTTGTATTCCCATGTAAATTAAATTCTTAATAAATTTCTTACAGACAACATCATTAATTTTGTTATTTCAAAATCCATATCTTATTGAAGCTCATGTTTTCCAATTACAAGATGAACAACTCATTACGTGGTTTAAAGCATAAGTAAGTATGCAATAATTTGTAACTCTAGTAAGAATACATTTATTTAACTTTTTTCATTTATTATTGTTATTAAGTAATGAGAATGAATAGAAATAGTTTGAATTGGACCAATTATATGAATAATTGAAAAATCTCTAATTCTTAAAATTAGAGTTCATGTGATTTTATGGTTAGAATGTTAATTGGGTTGTTGATTATGGTTTATGATAATGCATGGAAATAATTTGAATTGGATCAATTGTATTAATAATTGGAAAACTGCAAATTCTAGAAATTAAATGTTAATTGAATTGTTTATTATTGTTGTTGGTTTATGATAACACATGCTAATAGTTTGATGGAGTTTTATAAAATTGTGTTGAAAGCTATGTTCTAAGGATATTATAGAAGTTGTGTGTTTGGTATAATAATGGACACGTGAAAAATTAAATAAATGATATAAAAAATTGATGTCCATATTACATTATGTATTATAGTTGGTTTGAGAATGTGATTTTTTGTATTTTTGAAATTTTTTAGGTAGGGTCTTATACAGGGAAAAAGTTTCCTAAAGTTTGTTAAAAATAGATAAATGTCCTAAAACAAAAACCTATAAACCATATACTAGGAATTTCATTGAATATACTTAATTATTTAGTTATATTATTTAAAAGTCGAGAAAAAGTTTAGGATTGAGATAGAGCGATTCTGTTTTTTTAAACCGTAGTGTTCTTGAGCATGTAACGCAATTAAATGCAGATCATGAAGAAACACTTAATGCACATATTAACAATTGCATGCTTGTTGAATACATTTCACAGATATGATGTTCCATCTATTAAAGATCCTAATTCTGGCAAGTTTATAGCATAATGAAAACCAGATTTAAGCATGTAAGAAATTCTCCCCCCCTCACAAATAACATTAATGAATTAATAAATTGTCTACATGCCTTTTCATTCATTCATTGATTTTTAGGACCACAAATATAGAAGCTATGCACATGATAACATTAATGATGAAAACATCAATGAAAGATCCTTTATTTCAATGGATCCATCTTAAAGAGTATCTTGAATAGATATAAGTGGTTGAGACTTAGTGAGGGAAGTTTAAGGTTACACACACACGCTTTTAGCTTATATTTAACTGGTTTTTTAATGATGTAAACTAATTATTTTACAAAAAAGATTATAAGGAAAGATTTCAATTGGGATGAGGCTAACTCTAGGGTGGCCAAACAAGTTTAGAAAAACCACAACGCAACTAGGTAAGTTTTAACATGTGAAGCTTATATATTTGTTTTTTTTTTTTTGTAAAATTGTATTTTTTTTATATTTTTCTAGTTTAAAAAATTTCTAAACTAAGTT